CTCCGGGCGCGGAAGGAGCAGTTGCGTGGCCTCCAGCTCAGGGTCTCTTCCTCCTGCGGGACAAGCGTCAGGTGAGGCTGGCACCTAATCGTGGAGCCCGCGAGGATGTGGTGACACGGCGCGGGTCTGGCCAGGTGGCTCCCGGTGGTCCCCTGGCGCAGCAGCTCTGCGACGCGGAGGCGGGGCTGAGATGTGCCCCGCGCTGCCCAGGCCCCGCCCAGCGCTGCCACTGGGACCCCTGGCGCTCAGCATGATGTGCCTCTCCTCTGGCGCCCAGCCTGGGTGGTGCTGGAGCTCGGGCTCTGGGGAGCGTCCTGCTCAGAATCCTGCAGCACAGTCCCAGAGGCGCGGTTCAGCGCTGGTCGCAGGGGCGCTAGGGTCACGGATGGGCGCGCGCTGGCCCCTGGTGGGCTCAAGGCTGGGCGCAGGGGTGGAGGGCGGTCCCCACTCACGTAGCTGTCCCTCAGCGCCTTGACCGCCGCCAGCGCCCTCGGGTCCAGAAAGCGGTAGTGCGACAGCAGGCAGCGCCTGGGCACTGTCCCCCTGGAGTCCGACGCCACACCCAGTGTCCACAGGACCCACAGCCACAAGGCCACCCAAAAAGCTCCGCTCCTGGGCCTCATCTCTGCTCCTGCAGGAGGCGAGGACGTCAGGGAGACCCAGGGTGAGCCTTCCAGGGCAGCCCCCTGCCTGCGGTTGCAGTGAGGGGTCTCATCCTCAGAGAGTGTGGCTGATCCCATGCAGGGACAGACCTCGTGGACCTCCACGGTCTCCACCGCTGCGCTCTTTCCCTTGACTCCTCACCTGTGTCTCCCTTCCCTGCCTCGGGCTGCTGCAGGACCCACCGTCCACCGTCTTTTGTGGGGAGCTGAGCGCCGACCACCTTCCACACTGCTCCCTGCTCTGGCCATGGGGCGGCTTTTATGAGGAAGAGCTCTGAGCCGGGCTTCCCCGACCTGGGGATCCTTTCTGAACGTCAGCGCTGGCTCCAGTCCCCAGGATCCCAGCCAGGGTTACTCAATAAATGGTCCTGAGCCAGAGGTGGCTCCTGGTCTGTCCCCGGCCACCAAGTTCAGTCTCTGCTCTCCCTCTGTCCTTTCTCTTTGTTCTTATCTTTCTTCCACCTTCATAACCGACCCTGAGCAAGCAACCACCTGCGCCAGGCTGTGCGTTAAGCTTTCTTGCATCCAGATCATCTCGGGGGTTTGAAGGACACACTATGTGGCTTCAAGGCTTGTCCTCTACTGCCATGGCCGCCTTGAAGCTTCTCAGGGTCTACTTTGCTGTCTATTTTCATTTCACCAGTCTCTTCTCTCGGTTCCTTCCTTCCTTCCTTCCTTCCTTCCTCCCTCCCTCCCTCCCTTCCTCCCTCTCTCTCTCCTTTTTGGGATCCATTCCTCTTCTTATTCCTTTTCCAACCAACGTTCAGCTCAGCATCTCTGGGTCTGTCTGGGTCAATCTGTGGGTTTTAGTTTTGAATAAAGTTGGTTTCCATCTTTGGTGAAGGTGCCCAGTCATGTTCACAGAATAAAGCTTGCGAACAGAAAATCACAAAAGAAAAAATAAAGACCTCACCTATGATGTCCCCACCCTTCACCCCACCTCTGCAACAGTTTTCCAGATAAAAACTTTCCAAAATGTTAGTTGTGTGTACCATTTCTGATTATTGAGGTGACACTTTCTTACAGACATTAATATAAACACACCACTTGGACAGTGGAGGAAGCCTTGAGTCCTCCTTCCTGGAGGTAGACCTATTTTTAACAATTTGTAGCTGTTTCTCCTGTTCTTTGCCTTTCTGTGAGCAATTTCACTCCAACTGGAACCAGGCTTTCCTCCATTTGGTAGCTGCTGTTCAGGTGTCTTGGAGATCTCTGTTTGCATCTTCTTTAATTACAGTGTATCAGTTAAGGCCCAGCAGGAAACAGCTGGCCCAGTCAATTTAGGATAATTTGAGGCGAGGTTGACACCAGGAGCATTTACAAAAGGTCTGTGTCCTGAAGGGGAGTGACAAGGGACAGTGCAAGTTCCTAGGACCAGCAGGGGCCTGGGCAGGCACCCCTTGCCCTAAAGGAAGGAGCAAGAGGAGGTTCTGGTTGCTGGTCCTGGGAAGGAGGGTCCCACAGGTGGGTCAAGGAACAGATCAGCTTGGGTCGAGCCACAGGGAGGAAGTGGGAGGTACAAACGCCCTGCCCTCCTGTCCCTCTCCCTGGCTTTACTGCTAAGGTCTCTTAGGGGCCAAAGGCCAGCCTCCTCCATCCAGAGCAGGAGGAAGGAGCAGGGAGGGTGGCCGTGGAGAGACCAGCCTGTCCCAGCTTCGGCCCCAACAGGATCATTGACTAACCAGCCTCCTACTGGTTGGCATTGACGAATCCCCCTTGTTGATTAAAGCCTTGGTTTTCAGTGGGGCTGGGAGAAGGGACCCTGTTTCCCTCCCATTATCTTAACAGTGTCTTTCTCAGAGCCATGGTTCCCAATTTTTAGTTTGAGCTTTAGTTTTAGTTGTTTTGATGATGCCTTTCGTATTGTATCCAAAAAGCCATCAACAAGCCCAAGGTCACCTCGATGTTCCCCATGTTGTCTTCTAGGGAGGTTCTGGTTTTTCGTTGTACATTTAGGTCTATGCTACATGTTGAGTCCATTTTGGTGAAAGGTGTGGGGTCTGTGTCTAGATCTATCTATTATTATTTTTGCATGTGATGTTCAAATGTTTCACACCATTTGTTGGAAATAATAAAAACCTATCGTTCCTCCATCTTGTTGGTTTTTTCCTCCTTTCTCACAACTCGGTGGACCACATTTGTGTGGTTCTGTTCCTGGGCTCCACTGATCTATGCACCTGTCTTTTGGCCAACACCCCCCTGTGCTGACCGTGATCGCTTTGAAAGAAGTCTTCAGGTTGGATCATGCCAATCCCCCCACTTTGCTTGTCTGCCTTACTATTGTGTTGCTCTTCTGGGTCTTTTGAATCTCCTTACAAACTGTTATCAGTATCCTCAAATGACATGCTTTGATTTTTTTTTTCAGTGCTGGGGATAAGCCCAGGGCTTTGAGCACCCGGGCAAGCCGGGGTTCGGGTTGGATGGCACTGACTGTGTAAAAAGAAGTCGGGAAGAACTGACTCCTCACAATATTGAGTCTCCCTATCCATGAACATGGAAGATCTCTCAATTTTTAGATATATGCAATTTCTTTCATTAGGGCTTTGTAGTTTTGTAACACAGATCTTACACCTGTTGTGTTAGATTTGTCCGTAAGTATTTCATTTTGGGGGTGCTAACGTAAATGATGTTTTCTGTGGGGACTGGATATAAACCTTGTATGTGCTAAGTATGGGGTTTACCATTGATTATATCCTCAGCCCTATAAACAGTGCTTTTAATTGCAAATTCAGATTGTGCATTGTAATTACACAAGAAAGCGATTGACATGTATGTATTAATCTTGTATCCTACAGCCTTGCAACAATGACATATTGGTTTATAATTGTGGGTTTTGGGGGTTTCTTTTTTCCTGCCAGGGATTGAACTCAGGGGCACTGGACCACTAAGCCACATCCCCACCCAATTTTGTATTTTATTTAGAGACAGGGTGTCACTGAGTTGCTTAGGGCCTTGCCATTGATGAGGCTGGCTTTGAACTCAAGATCCTCCTGCCTCAGCCTCCTGAGCCGCTGGGATTACAGGTGTGTGTCACCGTGCCTGGCTCTATAATTGTAGTTTTAAATGCATCATATTGAACACACAGGACTATGAAGGAGGCTAATTATACTGAAACAAAATTACCAAACCAGAAAAATAATTTTGTGATACAGTAATATAAGTGTCTCTTCATCGATGTGTTAAGGATTAAGATACAGCAACTCGTCTAACAACTACTATACATTGGAGGTGGTAAAAACTATAAATGATAATTTCAAAGGTGTGTGATACTGCTGTAATGTGCTGTAAAAATATGTGTCTTCTTTCAATGACTTTAATTGTCGATATTAACAGATTCTAATACTATTGTTGTTTCTTTCTTCTGTTTTCTTTTTTCTTTGATTCTGGTGCTGGGCTGGAGAAAGCTAGGCAAGTGCTTGTCCTGTCCCATCATCCCCGACGTAGAATACCCATAAATTGTGAGCAGTGAAACTTTAAAATAATTGTTATATTTTTGAGGTCTATTATTTTGAGAAAGGTAATAGGCGAATGTTTAGAACATTTGACATCATATATCTGTTTTCTATATTTATATACAGATGAATATATACACCAAGGGTATGTAAACTCTAGATGATGATTTGTAACCTATTTTATGCAGCTTCATCAATTTCATTGAAATATTCTCAGAAACAAAAACGTGGAACTTAATGGGTTAAAAACCACAACGAGATCCCATTCCATACAACAGCTAAAAGAATCTGCGGTAAGACCCAGTGCTGGTGAGGACGCAGAGAAACTGGATCCCTCTCGCACTGCTAGTGAGACTGCGAAATGGCACCCACTCTGGAAAGCAAAACTGACATGTGGGCTGGGGCTGGGGCTCAGGGGTGGAGCACGCGCCTCGCACAGAGGAGGCACTGGGTTCCATCCTCAGTACCACATGCAAATAAATAAACAAAATCAAGATATGGTGTCCATTTATAACTAAAAGAATTAAAAAAAAAAGACTAACCATGCAACTACCACGTGACTCAATAATTGCATTACTGAGAATTTATCTCAGAAAAATGAAGACAAACCCTATACATATGTGTTTATAGCAGCTTCATTTACAATGGCCCCAAACCAGAAAATAACCATGTCCTTCTATAGATGAGTGGTTATCCGTTATGGTTTGCTTATGAGTTGTCCACCAAAAGTTCCTGTGTTCACGGAGGTGAGATGATTAGATGATGAGAACTGTGGCCCACGCAGTGGATTAATCCATTTGATGGATTAATAAGTGGAAAAGACTGAGTGCTGGTTGTAGGCAGGTGAAGCATGGCTGGACACGGAGGGTCACTACTATGGCGTGCCCTTGGGGAATTATACCTGGTCCCCTGTCTCCTCCTCTCTCTCGTACTGTTTCCTGGCAGCTTGAGCAGGGCAGGCTCCCCACCAGGCCTTTCCGCCATGATGTCCTACCTCATCTTGGGCCCAGGTCAGTGGAGATGGTGGTTATGAACTGAATCTCTGAAACCATGAACCCCTATAAGCTTGTCTTTCTCTCAGTTGTTCTTCTCGGGTCTTTTGGTCACAGTGACAGGAAAAAAAAACCTGATTAACACAAACACTACTCAGTAATGAAAATGAATGAACTCTTGATGTTTACAGCTGTCTGGGTAAACTTCTGCAGAATCGTGTGCGGGTTTTTTTCACTCACACCAGACGGTTACATACTGGATGTTTCCATTTATTTTACATACTTCTTTAAAAATACCTTTATTTTATTTATTTATTTATTTATATGCAGTGCAGAGAATTGAACCCAGTACCTCACACATGCAGATACTACCCTAACTCTATTTTACATCCTGTTTTGGGAGGAGTTACTAGGGATGGAACTCAGGGGCCCTTGACCACGGAGCCACATCCCCAGCCCTGCTTTTTTGTATTTTATTTAGAGACAGGGTCTCGCTGAGCTGCTTAGGGCCTCGCCATGGCTGAGGCTGGCTTTGAACTCTGCTGAGCCCTCCTAGCCCCAGGCTGGCCTCCCTCTGGCCCGCAGACTCCGTCACTGGGAGGCGCTGTCAGGAGACTGCGGGGAGCGCAGACAGCAGGGCCGGAGGTTTGTTTCAGATTCTCCCAGCAAGGCCCCGTCTAGGGCTGTGTCCCTGTACCTAAAGCCACCCTCTCCGCCTTGTCAGTAACAGTCCCCCTGTGGCTCCGCCCTGGGGTAGGTCACCAGCCCTTGTCAGTTCCCTTAACCCTGCTGATGTTCCCCGGTTAACCTTTTGAGTAGCCCTCCGTTTCCTGTAGATTTTATTTTTCCCCGACAGGTTTAAAATTTGTGTCAGTGTAATGAAAAATTCACAGGCTGCTGTCAGGAACGATGTAAAGAGCTGAGGGTGTTGGAGCACAAGCCTGTAATACCAGTGACTTGGGAGGCTGAGGCGGGAGGATGGCAAAATGGAGGCCAGCTGCAACAATTTGATGAGACCTGTCTCAAAAGAAAATTTAAAAATTGAAAAGGCTGGGGGTCTAGCTCAGTGTTAAAGAACCCCTGGGTTCAATCCCTCCTACAACAGTAAATTAAAAATAAATAAATAGAGGAATAGGAAAGGGACCATACCCAGAAACCCTCCATCCCACTCGGATCCCTGAGCAGGCCTTTTTGTAACCATGCCCACCGGCCTCCCTCCCTCTTCCTCCTCCAAGGGCACCAGGCCTCAAATTTCCTGGTCTCTATGAGCTGGAATTGGTGCAGCCGTTCACCCTCTGAAGGACGCCTCGGCTTCCCAGATCCACTCTCACAAATAAGGCTTTTAGAAGCATTTAAATAGCAAACAACTCTGCTATGGAATGGCTGCGTTTTGATTTCCCTGGAACAAATGTCCTCAGAG